AAGTGAAAATAATATTCAAGATACATGGAACATCAAATAAAAAGGCTACACAATTATAAGTAAGCAATGGAGGGGTCAAGGTACAAATACAGTTATAGAAAACCCATTCAGTGAAATAATAGCAGAAAATTTCCCAAATACTGGAAAAAATGCAAACAAGCAGGCACAGGAGGGATTCAGAACCCTAAATACAGATAATTAGCAAAGAATACCTCAATGGCATGATATAATTAAACTTCCAAAAGTACAAAACAAAGAAAGGCACAAGAAAAGTGTCAAGTTACATATAAAGAGAAACCCATAACGATAACAAGTTTCTGGGCCAGTAAGATAGATCAGCATTCGAAGTGGTGCCTGCTTAGGTAAGCTCAGGGACCCAGGTTCAGTCCCCAGCATCACATGCTGCACCTGCCCTGCCCCTCTGACACAATGAGCAGGCCACTGAGTCTGGATATGGTGGTGCATGCCTGGAATCCCAGCACTGGGGAGGCTGAAAACAGGAGGATCGCTATGAGTCTGAGCTGCATAGTGATGCCCTGTACCAAAAAAAAAAAAAAAAAAAAAAGAATAACAAGTTTCTTGGAAGAGATGATAAAGGTCAATATGTCATAAAAGAATGTATTTGAAGAAAATAACTGCTAACTTAGATTGCTATCTTCAGAAAAGTGATCCTTCTGAATTGAAGGAAAAATGTAGATTTCCCAGATCATCATGAAGTAAAGGAATTCAAGACCATTAAACTGTCATCACAGAAGGTACTTAGGGAATCCTACATTGTGGAGGGGACAAAAGGTCAGCACTCTTATGAGTTGCAGAGGCAAAAGAAACTGCTTTAGAAGAATAATAAGCAAATGAGAATTAGGAAAGAATCGAATATTGCTCAGAAAATCATCAAACACTATGAAAAATAATGAGAAAAGAAACATAGATTATTCAAAACCATCAAAAGAAAAATGAAAAAGGGAATAAAAACAAGTACAAATCTTTCAGTAACCCTGCAGGTGACTAGTTTAAATTTTCCAGTAAAAGATTCAATCTGGTTGATTGGGTTAAAAGCCAAGACCCATTTATTTGCTGCCTGTAAGAAATATACCTTACCAGGACAGACATACCCAGACTAAAAATGAAAGGCAAGAACAAAAGATACTCTAAGAACATGAAATACAAAAGCAAGCAGGAATACCATGTTTACATTAAGAACATTTTGAAAAATTCTATATGGATAAATTATAAAATCCAGAAGAAATGGAGAAATTTCTAAATATAAATGATCCTTTCAAAGTTGAACAAATAGAACATATAAAACCTACGCAGAATAATAACAAGCAATGTATTTGAAACAATAGTAAAAGTCTCCTAGCAAAGAAAAATCTAGGACCAGCAAGAGAGTGTTGAATTTTATCAAGCTTATAAAGAACTTCCTTCACTAGTAATTCAAACTATTCCAGAAAACAGAAAGGGAATAAATTCTTCCAGACTCATTCTGTAAAGCTTTCATTAACCTGCTATCAAAAACAAATCTATCAAAACCTGACAAAGATACAAGAAAGAAAACTATAGAGCGATATTGCTGATGAACATAAGTGAAAAATTCACACTAAATCCTGGCAAATTGAATTAGCTAACACATTATAAAGTCCACACACCATAGTCTCTCATCCAAGTACCAATCAGAGCCAGCCCAGAGATCAAACAAGATCAGGCAAGATCAGGGGCATTGCTGTAGACAATGCACCCTACTCTACTTTCATTTCAGGAAAGTATAAATGGTTCAGTATATGCAATTAAATCAATATGATTCAGTACTTAAATAGAATGAAATATAAAATCATATAGTCATTTCAATTGATGCAGAAAAAGACTTTGACAAAGTTCAATATCTCTTTATGCCAAATACCCTGAAGAAACTTAATATAGAAATATCTAACCTCAATTTTTGGAAAAGGCTATATACTAAAAATGTGTAGCAGATATCCTGCTGAGTTGTAAAAAATAATTGAAATCATTTTTTAAAAATCAGGTCTGAGATTAATAATAATAATAATACAAATGTTAAGGCACTTTTCTTTTTGATATCAGGAATCAAACTATGGACCTCACATTTGCTAGGCAGGTGCTGTGTTGCTGAACTGAATCCCTGGTACAAGGTATTTTCTTAAAGTTTCAATGGAAAGCAATATGGAAATTCCATGAAAATCTAGGATTAGGGGCCAGGAAGATAGCTCAGTGGAATAAATGCTTGCCTGGGAAAGCACAAGGTCCTGAGTTCAATCCCTG